CTCAGATTCAATGCACTCCCTACCAAAATGCCAATGCCAATAACATTTTCCACAGAAATAGAAAAAACAACTCTAAAATTCATATGGAACCAAAAAAATCCCCAAATATCCAAAGCAATCCTGAGGAAAAAACAAAGCTAAAGGGATCACACTTCCTGAGTTCAAACTGTATTATGAATATATAGTAATCAAAACAGTAAGGTACTGGCATAAAAACAGACACATAGGGAAATGGGACAGAATCAAGACCCCAGAACTAAATCTATGTATATACAGTCAACTAATATTTGACAAGGAAGCCAAGATTACCCAATGGGGAAAAGATAGTCTTTTCAATAAATGGTGCTGGGAAAACTGGATATTCAGATGCAAAAGAATAAAACTGGACCCCTATTTTATAACATTCACAAAAATTAACTCAAAATGGATTAGAGACTTAAATGTCTGAAACCATAAAACTCCTAGAAGAAAACATAGGAGAAAAGTTCCTTGAAATTGGTCTTGGCAACGATTTTTTGGATCTGACACCAAAAGTATAAACAACAAAAGCTATAAACAAGTGGGACTACATCCAACTAAAAGCATCTTCATAGCAAAAGAAACAACTAACAAAATGAAAAGGCAACTTGCAGAATGGGAGAAAATATTTATAAACCACATATCTAAAAGATTAATATCTAAAATATATAGGGAACTCACACAACTTAATTGCAAATAATAATAATCTGATTTTTAAATGGGACAGAGTATCTGAATGAACGTTTTTCCCAATAAGATTATTCAAATGGCCAACAGGCACATGGAAATATGGTGAATATCGCTAATCATCAGGGAAATGCAAATCAAAACTACAGTGAGATATCACCTCATACCTGTTAGAATGGCTATTATCAAAAAGACAAAAAATAACAAATACTGGCAAGGATATAGAAAAAGGAACCCTTGTGCACTATTGAGAGGAATGTAAATCAGTCCAACCACTATGGAAAGCACTATGGAGGTCCCTCAAAAAAATAAAAATAGAACTACCACATGATCCAGCAGTTCTACTTCTGAGTATGTATTCAAAGGAAATCAAATCACTGTCAAAGAGATAACTGCACCCTCGTGTTCACAGCAGCATTATTTGCAATAGCCAAGATACAGAAAAAAAACCTAAGTGTCCATCAACGGATGAATGGATAAAGAAGCTGTGGTATATATATTTTGATGGAATAGTATTTAGCCATAAAAAAAGAAGGAAATCCTGCTATTGGCAACAACACAGAAAAACCTTGAGGGCATTATGCTAAGTGAAAAAAATCATACAGAAAGACAAACACTATATAATCTCACTTACATGTGGAACCTAAACCAAAATCAAACCTCATAGAAATACAGAGTAGATTGATGGTTGCCAGATGCAAGGAGCAGGGGAGTTGGGGAGTTGAGTGAAGGTGGTCAAAGGGTACGAACTCCCAGTTATAAGTTCTAGGGATGTAATGTACAGCATGGTGACTATAGTCAACAATACTGTACTATTTGAAAGTTGCAAAGACAATAGATCTTACAATTTAATACACGCAAAAAAAATTGTAACTATGTGAGGCAACGAATGTGTTAACTAATCTTATTGTGGTATTCATTTTGCAGTATATACATATATCAAATCATCACATTGTGCACCTTAAACTTACATGTTATATCAGTTATAATCCAATAAAGCTAGGGTGGCAAGAGAAGTGGGCAAGAGGAAAATAGAGAAAGCAACAAACCACATCCTGGCTTCAGGGGCCATTTCAGATTCTTTTTAGTAATCTCTCTCTATATCCTGGGCTCGGTGCTATTCCATATTTTACATTCCATATTTTACGGACACATTCCATATTTTACAACTAAGCAATAAAAAGAGGAGAAAGATAAACTAGAAGGAAATTCTGGTAATAACTTTTTTAAAGCCACTAAATTTGTCAATAGTAAGTAATAATAATTGGAAAGGCAAATAACACAGCAAATGATGTTTATCCTACATTATGAGAAGCTGAGGATCAAATGTTGGGATATTGGTTTACATTTTCCAAGTCTTGTGTTTACACAATGTCATTAGGAAGAAGACTCTTAAGCCTTTTGAGACTGATCAACCACACACAAAGAATGATGGTCTCTACGAACAAAGGGGAAAGAGGTCTCTACGAACAAAGAATGATGGTCTCTACGAACACTGAAACAGTCGTTTGGGTGAAACTTGCCGAAGACCTATTCTGTACTGTACCCCTATGATGTTATAGATACCAACCAACATTTCCTTACAGGTGAAGTCAGACTGAAGGATATTAAGGCAGCTGTTTTATGGAGAAATGAAACAAATGTACAACATGAAGAGTGTCTATTATTCACTCACCCAACGTTTACTGAACACATAGATGTACCAAGCATTATTATGTTAGGTGAAGTAAAAAAGGTTTAAAACTGATAAAATAGCCTCTGCCTTCTAGAAGCTAACAATCTAAAAAGAAAGGTTGACATAAACACTTGACAATATTATGGAAGAGTGGAGAGTATGCCAGGAGGAAGGGTAGGAAGAATCTTACTACTTTGCTTTGGATAATGAAATGTAATATAGGAGCAAATGGTTTATAGGGGGCTACACTTTCCCAGAATGCTAATCTGGTCAATTTAGAGACAGGGGGATGGTGTGGGTCTTTCTATGGTTAAACACTACATATTACAGTCTTCCTGCAGAGATTCACTACAAACAATAGCAAATAATCAGCTCTAAGAAGTCCACTAGTAAAAACAAAAGCACAAAGCTATTCAACCTGCATTTCCCATCTTAATTCATCATGGAACCCTTTTTATAGAATAGCACCTATAAACAATCTGGGAACAAATTTGGGGAAAACAGGTTGTATGACCCTCAATGGCACAAAGCAACTGCCAACAATGCCAACAGGAAAAGATGAGCCCAAAGTAGGAAGATTCCTCCGTGCTTGGATTCTTCTCGGTTGACTTCATTAGTTGCGTAACATTTCAGTAGCTACTTGACAAAAGCAAGCAAATAGGGATCTGTAATACAAGATCACACAAGAAGAAAAACGCAAACCTACAGATGACTCCTGAATTCTTATTTTGATCACAAATGTTGGTCTTCTGAAATGTTAAGTCTTACCGGAGATATAATTTAAGAGAGGTGTGGATGCTGGGGCAAGACAGGCCACGGATCTTGGCTGTGCCAACATGTAACTGTCAATTATCGGGCCACTCCTGTAGTGTGATGGAGAAAAGCTCTTTAAATGAAGCTCCTTGACTGCAGTATCCAGAAATTGTAATAGCCAAGTCTATCGAACCAAAGATTCACTCATACCAATTGGTCCCATTTTTCACACTGTGTCAAGGTGCCTGGTCTCTAACACAACCACATTTACTACATTTTAGCTGATACAGAGTTTCATAGTGAACTTCTGCTAACTTCATTAACACTTATTTTAAATGTTCAGACACCATACCATAGTCATGAAATCACAGATTAGTAAAACCTCATGACCATCAAAGAATCATTTTTTTTTTCATCCACAGAATTCTAACTCTGGCACTGCATTTGTTCGTTCAACGAATGAGAGAGACAATTAATTAGAGATAAATTTACTTTCTAAAAGATCCTACAGATCCTAGAGAACCAACTAGGTCTCTAAATAAATCTAAATAAATCAGATTCTTTACTGGTTTTAGGACAAATGATACCAGATCAATGTTTCCATTGATTTTTCCCTTCCTCTGGCCCTTGTCTGGTCCCCTTCAATGATGCTGGAAAATAACTGTTTCTTACAACAAATACAGCCAACTCACAATTTCCTGGGTATACCTTATTTAGAAGATGGATGAACCTGCTGCATATCCTATACTCGGCTGGTTTTATGCTCTCACGACATTCATTTGCTTCTCCTTGTATGTGCATGAAAAATGCAAAACAATTTAATTAGTCTAAGATGAAACACAGCTCTCTCTAAATACAACATGTATATTGAAATGACTATTTTAAGGCTCATGCCACAGACCCCTTTCCAGTGGCATGCGAGAGGTGACTAGAATACACTTTTTGAAAGGTGGCATTGTTTGTGTGGAGGGGTGGGGTAGAAATGGGTGCTGCACGGTCAGAAAACCTACAAAGGCCCAAGTTCTACTTCTATCAAGTGCATGACTTCAGATCACTTAACAGCTCATTCTCAAATGAAAGGGTTGGTATAACTGACTTCTGAAGTTTCTTCTAGTTCTAAAGGTTCTTACTTTCCTTCAATATTATGTCGTCAAGTACCATTTCACTGTGGAGAGCTGTTTAAAAATGATTAATGGTTAAATTACAAAAACCTGTCAGTTCCTCCAACTTAATCACTCCTATTCCTATTTGCTAAGCTTACATCTTTGAAGTTGATAGCACACAACTATTATAGTTCTGACCTCTCATTATCTTTCCAGATGCTAGCCCATGCAAGTTAATTGCCTAACTGATATACCTCAGTATATAGAATGCAGCTTGAGACACATTTTTAATACACTGAGTTATGCCTTTTAAGGCCCATAGTACAAACCTGTAACTGTCATTTAAAAGTGGCTCTGAAAATGCAGTCCAAGAAAGCATTCAAGGGAAACCATCTCAGAAGCTGGCTGAAAAAGGATTCTTGGACTCCAGAATCTGCATTTTGACACATCCTCTGGTGAAAATACTGGCTGAGGATTTCAATATTAACTACAAGTTACTTGGGAAAATTAACATTGAAAAAACAGGGCCCAGCTCTAAATATTAATTTGGGAGGGGTTATTTATTAAACTCACCAAATCGGAGGTTTTGAAAGTTACATAAAAAATCGCAGCTTCAGAATTTTCCAAACAAATCTCTCCCTAGCTATAGTAAGCAGCATGAGACTGTCATTAAGTGCGTTCCTTAAAAGTACACTCAAATCCTTAAGCCATTTATGCATTAAAAATGGAAATAAGCAATTCACATTTTTATTTCTTGGGATTAGGCCAAGATGGCTTTTATGTTTCCGAAGCGATCCACAAAGCCAAGATTGAGGTTTCCGAGGAAGGCAGCAAGGCGTCTACAGCCACCGGTATGTTCATCAAGGGGTCAGCAGTGCTCAAGTCATACCTCTTGCCCTTCTATGCCTTTGTTAGGTTTATCCAGTTCAATCTCCACATTTCTAAACTTTCCCACTCAAAACCCCAAGTCCAGATGTGGTATATGTGGTATAGCATTTTTTAAAAAGGAAGGTTAACACAAAGAGTTTGAAAAATGGCGAGAGAAGAGAAATCCAGTTTGAAAAGGATTTGTCCCATCATCCCCATAAACAAGGGATGAAGTCATTCTGAAAATTACCTTCAGTAAGGAATTCATTCCATGGAACATTTTGAAAATGGGACACAGGGTTGCTAAGTGGCATCTTTTCTCTTTAATTTTCCCATTTGTACCCCATCATAACACTACACAAATACATTAAGATGTTCTGATTTCTTCAGAAATCAAGGGATATAACTGACTTCGGCTCCAATTTTAATAGTGACTTCCCTCAAATGAATAAAAAATGTAATAGTCTCCTATTCTTTCCCTCCTGCAGCTCTGTTGTTACTGAAAAGGTCTCGGATTCCTTTTTTTAAAGCAGATCGGCCATTCTTCTTTTTCCTGAGAGAACCCAACACAGGTATGACAGTATTTCTGGACACCATTCAGATATATTAAATATTTATCAGCATCTCTCTAGCAACAAGCGCCCATTTGTCCACTGCAGCCTAAAACAAGCATTCCTTCTAGCTAGTTTCTATGGTGCTTCAGAAGCTTCCCAGTTTCTTGTCGCGTATCCTGAGAAAGGGGAACATTTCTTAACTACAAAGGAAACTAATACCCTCCGTGTGGTTTTTGGCTTTTCGGCTCATTTTTTTGTTGATGTGGATTTTTAAAAATTCAGGTTTCTACTGCTGGGGAAGACTCAGAAAGATCATGAAAGTAATGTAAGTGATTCATCTTGACTTCCCCCCCCCCCCATTGTTGCCTCACTTTCTCATCACTGTAGGACAAAAGATATAGCTCCTTCAGGGCACTCGTGTGTCCAAGGAGTCTTTCGACTCAGCAACCCCAGTATTCTAGTGAATGCACCTAGATTTCTATAGTTTTTCTGTTGGTCTTTCTCAAGCTGGCCGAAATTACACAAAAATCAAGTGTTTGCCCAAGTACTTCTTAGTTCCACTATACAACCTCATCTTAAGCCAGAAATGGTATGGACCAGGCAAAGCCTCAGCACATCAGAGGGACAAGCGGAGCTCCTCTCATTTCTGCGATGAAAAAGGATTCTAAGTATTCCTCTCCGTGTTTCCCCCTCCCCCCTCCCCATTATTTATCAGCCTAGGAAGGAAAAGAGATTCTCAGTAAAGAGTTGTTGGCAAGTCGAAACAATGTGTTAAAAAGAAATAGGATGGAACAAGACTAACAAAATCAAGCAAAAGTGGATCTACTTTAACTAAACATCAGGCATTATTTTTATTTATGGAGAGAAAAAAAAGTCAAAAGTTAGAATAATGAAAATTACGCATAAGTTTTACACAAATTGTTAAGGAAATACTGTCAACATCATTTTATCTGAGAATCATTTGCATACTGCTGTAACTTGTGCTGGAAATCAAAGGAACACTTTTGTGACAAAAAGGATGAAGATAATCATTCACTAGGAAATAATCTATTGGGGGATTATTTGGGGAGAAAAAGTCCATCAACAGAATATATCCTCCTAGGATTTCACCATGATCATTCCATCCCCATGTTTATTAGATGAAATTGTCACTTATCACTCAGAACAGGCAACAGAGAGCCCTCTCTTAGAAAGGATACATGTCCAAAAAATGAAAGATGAAAAAAGTGACAGGCTCTACTCCCTCAAGAAACAGAGACAGGACTAAATGCAAATAGGAAGGTCATTGTCAAAAGCTGATAGCCAATAAAAGTTGATGACATTTAAAGAGACCGATATCTCTTTTGGAATTCAGCTGCGTAACAATGACGTAAAACCTCTGCACTAGTAAAGGACACACCACTGTTTCGATGATAGGAGTTTTCAGAACTGCCTCAGTAAACACATGAACATAAAAGGCTAATAATCCAAAACCAGTTCCATAATCCGCCGCACATCTGAATATAGTCTTTGTGAATTTATTTACCTCTTTCTGGGAGGTATTTGCCCACACCACACACGGCACAGTGACTACTCTCCTGGTGAGAGGGGTGTCGAAGAGATAGAAATCAGTCTCAGCCTTCAGTACACCAAATGGACACATCTTACTGATAAGGGCAAATAATGAATCCATTGACAAATGGGACACATATGGGAACGTTAAGAAAAACGATCTTAATCTCAAGATTAAACTGTTAGAGAATACCATTTGTCCAGCCTAAAGTCACCCAGTGACCTACAGGGCCCAAAAAGACAGGATATTCCCCTTAAATTCAACCCCCCGTTGCTTACAAGAATTCTATAGTATTTCACTAATTTAACTAATATGCCCAGTTTCTTAAAATGTAAAAAACCTTCGAGATGGGATATTAAGCTTGAGTTTTGATTAGTTTCAAACCTTATGACTAGGTTTTGGATGAGGCTATCGAGTATGGTGACAGAGAGATTAAGGACAGAAAGAGGAGACTGAACAAACTGCTCTTCCCAGATTCATCCCCAGAATGTAATCAAGGTGAAGGGTTTAAAGATGATCACCTCAGGAGCAATCTATAAAATGGAAATAAGAACTTCCTGATAAGGAAAGCTGCTAAACATCGGAATAGACTGAACCCCCTTCCTAAATATTCTTAAGTATGAACTTTTATCCGAATGATTTGTAATCCCTTCTATTAATCTCAGAATCTAAATATACATAATTTAAGACAATTAAATCCAGACAATATATTCTGGATTTTGTGTAGCTCCTGAATTTAGCAGTGACTGCAGGTAATTACCTTGACAATTCCACCTATGAAATGATATCCTGCTTTAAAGGTATTTTGTAGAGGTAAAAAAGGTTTAAAGAATTGCATATGAAAATACTATGTAACGTTACATTAAATGCTTCTTTTTCTTGACAGGATTTGTCTTCAGTATTGGGAGCGTTTCAAATCCCCTAGACTAAATTAAGAGATCTCAAGCATGTTCTCCACTGTCAACTATGCTTTTCTTCATAAAAAGTTACAATTGCATTCTGCTATACCCCTGAAATTTTAAAAATGTTCCGCGAAAGTGTAAAAAGATAAGGGTATGTGATTTTCAAATATTATGAAACTAAAATTCCATCAATTTTACTATAATTTTATAAATTTATTTTGCCCTCTGTTAATCTAAATGTATTTTAACCTTCTTTTCTATTGGTTACCCCAAAAGCACTACAAGGCACAGCAGTGATCTATGAAAGGTGAGTGAGGAGTCTGGTCACAGGGTCAACGTCCTCAGTGAAGTCATCTGAGGTCGTGTTGGACTGAGAGTGGACATTGAATAGTGTTGGTTTTTCCTTATCCTGGGTATTTCAGGGGGAATACAAAATGAGCAAAGTCATCTTAAATGTTTCCTTTCCATTTAGCTTCTAAACAAAATGAAGAGTTTAAGTGTAAGAACAGCAGAGGAAAACAAAGAGGTCCCCTTTGAACTCCCAATTTGTTGTGGGACTTCTGTAAGCATGGCATCAAGCTGCTAAAGGCTGGCCATTTCAGACTATGTGGTGTGCCCCAAACTTACACCTCCCTAACTGGCAGCTTCAACTTAGTGCCACCCATAATCCTAGTGAGAACGGAAAAAGACGTTGAAGGGGAGTAAGGAAACCAATAATGTCAAAGATGTCTGCGTTTTAAACAGCTTTTAAAGTGTCTGCCTATTTGCCACAGATCCCATCTTTTCTATTATCTAGGCAGAAATGGGAGTATGTTGGTGTAGCCAACAAAATCTAAGAACATAGAGTAAAAAGACAATGCAGATTATGTAACAGATAATTACAGTTAGCTTTAACAAATATGAACTTCAAGTGGTGTATTTGTCCAATGCTTAAAAAGCAAGGCCTTTAAAATTCCATTATCCTTAAGATGGTTTTAAATGATTACTTTAAATGTGATTATTTCCTAAACCACACAAGAGTAAAATAGAGCATTTATTGATGGAATAACAAAAGTGCTTTTCTTAAATATTCTTCAAAATACATTTGTACAACTTACAATAATATATCCAAAATAACTGTATATACAAAACATTACCTAGTTTTAATGTATGTGCTTTTTTCCCCAAAAATTACAAAGTAACTTTTTATTATTTTTTTTTTTTGGCAAAGTTCAACCTTAACAGAGGTGACAATTTTAAAGGTTGGTTTAAGAAAATAGAACCTGAGGGAAATTGACACGCAAGAGTCAATGACAAGCAAGAGATTTGGAGGAATATTTTTAGTTTGTTAAATAAAAATGTGTTTTAGAGTGATATTTTTCACATTACAAAAATAAACCAAAATGAAGAAAAGGTCACTGTAAAATGATGGAAAAAGGATCTGTAGACTTGCTCTTAGTATTTCAAATAGCCAACAATGCATGTCAAAAAATGAATTCAAGATCACAACAGTCTTGTATTTACTTTGTATTTGGAGAAGATAGTGAAATAAGTGGCCACATTCTGTTTTCTTTTAATTGCTATTAATATGGTTGATCTGATTGGCTCGTCGATGAATTTCATCCAAGAAGTTCTCCAGTTGTTCTATTAGCATTCGCTTTTTAAACCTGTATAAAAAAATAAGTGATAGCACTCTCAATTTCTTTTTAATGGATATAGATCAGTATAATGCTTTTTTTAAAGACAGAAACTGCCTTGGGAAGATTTTTCAAAGTAAAATGAAAATGAAAAACAACAACTTTATGATATATAAAATCCAATGGAAGATAATAAGCAAATTATTTTATCAGTGCAGAATTGCAGTTTGTTCCTAAAACAAATAATCCAGGCCCAGGTACAATGGAAGTCAGATATTTGTTCCACAACCAAAAAGAAAAAAAACCCTAACATTTACAAGGGTTACAAATATTCCAACAAAATTTGGACTCCTAAAGCAATGATTCAAATAGCTTCTTATGCTCTTTAATTTTTTTTTTTAATGTTTGTTTATTTTTGAGAGAGAGAGAGAGAGAGAGAGAGAGAGAGAAAGAGAGAGAGAGAGAGAGAGAGAGAGAGAGAGAGAGAACGAACAAGCTGGGGAGGGGCAGAGACAGAGGGAGAGACACAGAATCCGAAGCAGGTTCCAGGCTCTGTCAGCACAGAGCCCAATGCAGGGCTCGAACTCACGAACCGTGAGATCAGGACCTGAGCTGAAGTCGGACGCTTAACTGACTGAGCCACCCAAGTGCCCGTACTTCCTATGCTCTTTAAAAGTTGTATGGTGAAAGAATGTGAACAAAGTATGAATATAATCCCCACAAAAGGGAAGAAGAAACGACAGTTGGATAGTAACGTTTAAAAACCCTGGTGTTCTACTATTACAGTTTGAAAGCTAACAAATCAAGGATAATTAGACATCTGCAGTATAGGATAATATAGCAAACATTGAAAGTTCAAGTGGCAATTTAAAATTTTCTTCACTAATATAGTAGACTAAAATTGCATTCGTCTACATAAGTTATTAATACTGCTGATGCTTTTTAGAATATCCAAAAACACTGTCCAATCTATATCCACTTCCTCTCTACTTGTAAATTAATATGAATAGCCACCATAATATTACACAACTCTCTAAAAGGTGTTAGAAGTAGAGAGTGCAGGCCACCAGGAATATAGCTAAATCCATGATGAAGTTTGAGCTGACAGAATGTTACATAAAGAATAAATACTCGGGGCGCCTGGGTGGCGCAGTCGGTTAAGCGTCCGACTTCAGCCAGGTCACGATCTCGCGGTCCGTGAGTTCGAGCCCCGCATCAGGCTCTGGGCTGATGGCTCAGAGCCTGGAGCCTGTTTCCGATTCTGTTGTCTCCCTCTCTCTCTGCTCCTCCCCCGTTCATGCTCTGTCTCTCTCTGTCCCAAAAATAAATAAACGTTGAAAAAAAAAAAAAAAAAAAAAAAAAAAAGAATAAATACTCAAAATAAGTAACATGAAAAGTTACTGCCTTATTTTGAACCCTCAAAGTGGTGTATGCTCTAGCTACTCCAAAAAAAACCCAAACAAACAAAAAAAACCAAGTAACTGCTCTATCTAAAAATGCCTTTAAGAATAGCATGGAAGAAACTGGGGGACTTTTAAAGGCTGTGTATATTTGAAAGGTCAGAGGAGATAACCCTAAGTTTTCGTATAATACTAAAGAAGTCTTCAAGGAAAAACGTTTTGTGTACTCACTACTCATACAACTATGCTTTCCAGTTAATTGCACTTCATAGTTACCATTTATAATCTTGATCCACATTCCTTGTATTAAAGTACATAATCCTGGGCTACTGAAGCAATCAGAATAAGGCCCATTTGTCCAACTCTGCTCCCCTTAATTACATGTTTTCCCACGTACAAATGAACAGCATTCAAATATTGTCTTCCAAGGTTATTTCTAATCACTGATTAATATCAACTGTAGTCCAAATATATAAAGGAGAAAAGCTGAAGGCTATAAAATATAAAGACCCCAAAAAGGCACAGAGTAGGATCAATGAGAATTATGCAAGTATCTATAATCTACAGGGAGAAAAGGTCCATAATTGGTGAAGAATTTGTGTGTGGCTATTTTTTAAGTGAATTTCTTTCAATAAACTAAAACAGAGGAGGAGGAGGAGGAGGACACACATGGCTGTGTCATATGCATGCATAACACAACAAGTACAGATACTGTTATAACAGTCACAACTGTTACAACACTGACTGTAAACTGGGGACTCATTTCATAATCATTTCATAATGTACAACAGATTATTTACCTTGATGCTTCTTTAATGACATTTTGCAAAAATATTAGTCTTGTTTGTAAACTGCCTTGCACATGCTTCAGTAAAGTGAAGATTCTTTCATATTCTTAAAACAAGAGAAGCAAAGAAAAAAATTAGTGGCTTTTCTATGCACTCTTATTCAATATTTTTCTACTGCAGTTTACGGTATCAAGATATGCTAAACCAAACCAAAATATTCTACCACTCATTAATACACATATTTCATCATATATCAATCAAGATAAAATAACTTGGTAAACACAGAAGTTTTGGTAAAAGTTCCCATTAAGATATCAAACATAAAGCTTAGAAAGTACGTGACTAGCTTTTGGTACTGGCCACTGAAAAAGCAGCAGCAAGTAGCCTTTATAAAATTGCATACTTATAATTTAAATTCTCAACTCCAGTTAACAAGATGGGGAGGGGCATATGGAGACAGAAAAAATGGTTAAGAGTGCTAGTTCAGTTTCAAGTTTTCACCTAAAATTCTGCCAAGGACTATAAACTCCTAAATGGCAAGGGCTGTCTTACCCACTTTTGAACCACCCATGGGTGTTCCATTAAAGCACATGGTCCGTCAATCTGTCAACATCTTTGAATGGATGTCATAATACTGAAATTTTATGCCAAAGTTCTTTTATATTCATTTCATAGATTGCTTTTATAACTTTAGGGTTTTGGCCTAAACACATCCCTGCTCACCATCATAGTTTAACCCTTAAACACAGTGGTAGACACTATGTCAGGAACTCTACAGAGATGAAACTATTTAATATTCGCTACACTTTTGGGGGTTTGCTGCTACATTAAATTCCAGTTGCTGTTTAGAAGAATACTCAAGACTACGGGTTCCTGTCATAGTAGGAACTATGTGTAATTTGTCTGTGTGTTCTTCAAGCTCTGCTCTCAGTCCTTCCTGCTTACCATATCTACACCATACTACTTTGGATATAACAGACATTTAGTGTTTGTAGGCTGAATAAAGATCAAATCTTACATAGCTCAAATGTTGTTCAAAACTGATCTAGAATCAGGTATATGCTTCTAAATTTTTTTTATTTTTTGAGCCCACACAGATATCAAATATGGGGTTTGCCTCTAATTATACATACTTCTTCCTGGCTTTCGGATCTCTTTCATTATTTGTGCTTTTAGTTCAGTGTTGACCTCTTCATGGCTTCTGCAATGCATCAATTTCTTTCCTTTGTTGAGTGAAGATGCTGGTATATTCTCTTCAGGACATTGTTCTTTATCTCTTGGCTCCTCGTGATTTTCTAAATATCCACCAACAGTGAGGTCATTAGTTCCTAAATGGTCATGACCAAGCGCCTCTGTATGATTGGTTGGTCGTTCCAGTAAACTGGCTGGAGAAGAAGTTGAAAATTCAGTATCCATAGCATTTGGTGTAATATCTGATGAAAGTTGGTCTGCAACATGATTTTCAACTACATCATCTATTGTCGAATCATTAGTGGTTTCCGAAACTAAAAACAAAGATAAGAAGAAAAAATTGACATGAGCCAACTTCAAAGCACACAGTAAGAAAACAGCTACAAATAATATTACAGCAAATCACAACTAATCTCCTTGATGGATGCAAATTAACAAATAATATGATATGGTTCTTAAGATTTGCCAAAGAGATGGTGGGTTTCAATGTGAAACATTTACAGTACTTACAAAATCTGTAAAATTTTTGCCCTTAGGAAAAAAAATAAAAGCCAATTTCACACAACTTTTAGTTCTCTGCTTTATTCTATGGCAATTTTATTGAACAAGCAAATTTCTAATGCTTTAGGGGAACATATATGACCAAGATTATCAGGGTTACCCTTTCCTTAGAGAGTCCTAACTCATTCCAACTTACCTCTGCCTTATACAGTCTACTATCATTTAGAGGCAAAAGTAAACACAGGGAGTCCAAAGTGTTCAATATTCTGCTGGGAACCCACTGTCAGACAGGTCACTTTACAGTACACTCTTTTCTTATAACCACTCATCCAGTCTTTAGTTGAGCAACGCAGAACAGTGCCCACAGCCTGGTGCCCACTGCAATTCATCAGATTACTGGACTTAAAAAAGCTTACAAACACTTGCCCCCCACAGAAAGCAGCTGAATTGTAAGTTCCCTGACTGCTCACCAAACCTCCAGGACACCCGCTGAAGTCATCTCTACTTCCCTCATTTATCGTCCAAAGGTAAACTCATGCCCACAAAAAGCCCTCAAACTTCTGACTCCCTCCTAAATCCCCGTCCATGATTTGCAAATTTTCCTAAATATTCTCTGTAACGACTCCCGCTTTAACTGAAACGCAGCTCTCTGACAAAGAAACTGCTCTTCTTTTCAGACTTGGAGTTAGAAACTGCTTTCTCTCAAACACTCTCCATGGACTTAAAATAAGGAGGTACAGTCACCGATTCCTTCACCTTCCAGTGCCACTTCAAGTTACTTTCTCCCTGCACTCGTATAACACTCTTGCTCTGATAAATGGGAGGGAGAAAGTAAAGGCCACTACACTCATCCTCTCTCTCCTATCACGGTCTTTATTGATCTCTAAGGCACACCTCTCTGGTCATACCGGGCTCGCAGTCTTCCTCCCACCCTGATGTCCCTTGGGCATTATCCTAGATCATTACTACTCAAAATGTGGTCTAATACAAGCAGTGTTAGCACCATCAGAAAGCTGGCTAGAAATGTTCACCTTGAGCCCTGCCCTAAACAATGAATTCAGAATCTGCAGTTTAACTAGATCCCCTGGTGATGCAATGACACATTAAAGTTTAAGAATTACTGTTGTATGGGACTTCAGTGTCTAAGCAGATCACCTGCCAAGAACATGGCCTCAATTCTTTAATGTGTCACCTTGTTTGGCTCTCAAATCAAACACAAATTCACGGGCAGAGGAGCATAACCCTTATCTTTGCAGGACTCCTGCTGTTGGCTCTGTAACTCAGCCAGACTCTTACTTCAGCATCTCCTCCACTTTCTCCCTCCCAATGAGCAGATCCTACCTTCTAGATTCCTCTTTCTTGTCTATCCAACTTATATCCCATATGCATTACTTTTTACCAAGGTCCTAAATTCTCTCATTCCATTGTCCTCCCTGCCAGGCAAAACCCCAAATCTGCCGACTCTATCTGCTTGCTCTAGATGTGCATTTGGAATGATGAGCGCTAGTGGAGAAACAGGACCCAGCAATCTTACTACAACATTTCCTCCCTCTCCCACAAAAGATCATTCTAACCTTCTCCGCTCTCTTAACATCTCGGACTTTCCCAATCCCTGCCTCCCACTCAGGAGCATACATCACCTCTCACTTCACAGAGGAAAGGAAAGCAGAGCTGTGAAACAGGAACTTCCTCTACTTGCCACTGTTCAGCTTGTGCCCATACCCTTTCTGCTTCACTGGAGGTAGCATTCTTTCTTCTGGGCTCTGGACCACTCCTGTCTGCCTTCCCAGTGATTTTGTGGGAGCAAAACTGCTCTTGCTAAGGCAGCCAAAGACCAATAGAACTTTTCTAATCCTTTTGACTGACCTGTTTAAGAAGCATTTGAAACCACCAACCACTCAATTCTCTTTCCCTTTAGCTCTCACGACACCAAATTCTTCTCATCTCCTATTTCTTGGATTCTTCTTTCTCAATCTTTCCTGAAACTCATTTCTCTCCCTAACTTTAGCACTTTCAAAGTTCTGTTCTAGGCTTTTTCTTCTCATTGTTTTCTTTGGTGTGATTTAATTCACTTCAATTGGGGCTAAGACTGCCTCCTGCACCTCCCTCTTTATCCCAGTCTCTTCTTTAGTTCTAAACTAAAATATCCATCTTCTACCTTAGGATCTCCATGTGGCTAACTTAATAGGCACCTCTAAAATCACTCATCATCTGCTCTTCTACTCCACCCCGTTACCCTCACCTACCAAGCATCTCTCAACTCCTCTCTTGCCCTGACTCCAACATCCAGCCAGTCGTCATCAAGTCTTTACTGATGTGTCCAAGTATTTCTCAAATACATGTTCTTCTCACAACTCCACTAGCAGGTCATTAGCTCTTCCCTGGGTTCCTTAACTGCTTTCTGTGCATCTAATAATTATTTAATGACATCAAATATCCTATCAGTGTTCACAATCTCTAATTACTTTATATATTTTCTGTCTGTGGAGGGAAGTTTGATTTTGTTTGATTCAGGGTTCAAATCAGGCCTGCACACTGTCATTGGTTTATAGGTCGTTTAACTACCTTTTAATCTATAAAATCCTTCTGTACTTCTCTTTTTTTCTATGCATTTTTTCTGGATATACACATATCCCATATTCTTTGTCTTACAGTGTCCCACCATCTGGATTATGCTAATTGTCTCCCTATTTTGTCATTTAATATGTTTTCCTATCCTTGTATTTCCTATAAATTGGTAGTTAGATCTAGAGGCTTGATCAGGTTAAGGTTCGATTTCTTTCTTTTTTGTTTTTTGGCAAGAGTATTTCAGAAGTGATACTGTATAAACCCTTCAGGAGTTATATAATATTTGGTTCTCTCCAGTTTTAAGCCACAAATGATCACTACCTATAATTAATGATTCCATTAATTTACTAAGAGTTCCCCTACATCCATTCTTGTTCTTCCCTAACAGTACTCTGCACAGGACAGTCAGCCTGGTCTTTATAAAATGCTAACCAGATGAGGTCACTAGCTTCTCAAACCTTTCAAAGATTCTCATTGTCCTTAAAGTCTGGAATCTTTACAATGGCCTCCAAGGCCCTCCATGATCTGGCCTCAACCTATCTTTCATCTCTCATCTTGCCTCACCCCCAACACCTTTGCTATACTAGAGTTCTTTCAGCCCCTTAACTGCTTCTCTTTACTGTATACGTTTGCACAGACTCTTCTTATACTACTACTATACACATAGTATGCAGCAGACTGCTTAGCAAGACTCCTGAATGCACAGCTTTAGTGAAACAACTCCCATTCATCCTTCCAATGTTGGCTTAAACGTAACTTCCTCAATAAAGTGCCTTGACCCCACAGACTAAAATCCTCTTGCCACATGCTTCCAAAACATACCTGACTTCCCTTCTGAACATTCACCACACTTCTAATGAAATGTTCAATGACTGTCTTTCCTCATTCTAAATGGGGGCAGAGATCACTATTGTCTCGTTCACTGCGATACCTCAATGCCTAGCACTGTTTACCATAGCATATGTATTTAATAATTAGTTGTTGAAGTTACCTGTAATTGAAAACCACCTTTCTATGGGTATTGAGAACATCCCTATACCTGTTATTTTGAAATACTTAAGGCTTATAAAAGATATTTAGATCATGACAGCTATAATAGAGCATAATAAATACATGAAATGTCCAAATGTTCACTAAAAGGACTATGATTACACGCTAATTTAGAATAAACAATTATCTTCTCTAGACACTCTTAGACTTTATCAATTTTTTCTATACTTTATTACAAAAATCTCTTCCCCACACAAAAAACAAACAGCAGCAAATAATGTTTATTTTTTAAAAACTCTTACTTTTATGAAGAGGAAGGGGTTTAATAAGATCTGGCTGTGCTTGAGTCATAGGTACAGGTGGTCCTTTTCCTCCAATATGATTGTTCACAACTGGATTCTGTTGTCTGCCTCTCAGCAGTGGAGACATACAGCGACGTCTTTTAGGGATCCCTTGCATATTTGGTTCTCCAGGTCGTTTATGTTTATTTTGAGGTCCAGCCACAAATTCATCTGCTTCATCTATCATCATACCCTGTAACAAAAGAGAATATAATTTCCCTAGATTTACATATAGTTTTTAAATGGCACAACTAATTCCAGTTCCCATTAAAGCAACTAGATTATAACTATGTTAACATTTATTAGTCTACCAACAAAACAGCTTCAGCTTACTTTAGTGAAATTAGAACTGTTAAATCCACAAATAAATTATACAATGGAACGTTTCAAGCTTACCTTTTTATCTAGCTTAAATGGGTTGCCAAATGTATGCAACCTTCGAGGCTGATCAGGATCAAGTTCTCTTAGTGGAGAAGGTACTTGCTTGAGGTATTCCTGGTAATTCCCCATTTGTGCTATAGGAACACTGTGCACTTGATCTTTTCAAACAGAACAGAGCAATAACAAAAGTTAACCTCACTGAAATGATACTCTGTTTAATTACCAAATAATACCTTCTTATATTTGAATGCTATCTGGGGTTATCCTAGGCAGTCTTCCCTTCCCATATATGCAAAATTGGTTTGTCGTCATAAATATTGTGACATAAATGAAGTCTTTGAGATTTTTAAAATAAAATTTAAAAGAACTGATTTTACCTTCTAAATAAAACAAAAATATTGCAGTTAATTTGAGTGTATAGAATAAGCAAATATGTGTTAACATTACCATGAAAAGGAATGTCTCTTCTATTATATTCCAAATAAGCAGAATTTAATTATAGCAGAATTTATAGAAAAGACATATCACATATAGATAACCCTTTTTATATAAAGCTATGGTGGGAGGGGTCCCCAGATGGCTTAGTTGGTTAAGCGTCCGACTCTTGATTTCGGCGCAAGGTCATGATCTCACAGTCGTGAGATGGAGCCCCGTGTCGGACTCCGCGCTGAATGTGGAGCTTGCCTGGGATTCTCTCCCCACCCACTCCCCTCCCCAAAGTACGCTTGCACTCTCTCGGTCTCAAAATAAATAAATAAACATTTAAACATAAATACGTAAATAAAGGTATAGCTGGAATGCTTACGTCAGAGATGGCAAAGAGTTAAATTCTCATCTGACTTGATCTGTGGTCAGTGCCATGGGTATAACTGAAGGAACAGGACATGTATTCACCATCCAAGTTAAACCACCAGATGCTAGTATTGTGTTTCACAAGAAAATGATTGTGCATGTGTGGACCTGTGTGTGTGAATGCATGAACAAAGCCAAAAAAGATACTAAGCTGCTAACAGAGGGTGTCACCTCTGGGGAATAAAATTTGGGGGAAACAGTGATGGTAGAAAGAAATTCTGAGAATGAGTGACGACTCACTTTTTACTTCATTTGTTTGAATTTACAAAGAAAATGAGATACTACAATGCTTTAAAAGCTACACTACTATACTATGTTTTTTCAGTATAAAGAAATTCACAAAAGAAACACCATTATTGAAACTATGATCCAACCTTCATCCTGTCCTTTAAGAAATCTGCGGGTGCTCTTCAAAAGATTAGATCTCATTCTTGTTAAGTGATCCAAAAGATTCCGCCTTGGTATGTCATACGCGTTTCTAAATGTCTGTGGCTTCAAATCCTATTGAAAAACATTCAAAGGCAAATTTATTTTCAAATATAGAATTATAAGAGACTAAAATCTCTAGCCTGCAGTAAAGGTTTGGAAATAAGATATACAAGTCTAATTAGCTTTAAAAATAGAATAAAGAAATTATGATGCAATCTTAATATACTGTTTTGGGAACCAGAGGATAAAAATTGGTAGTGAACTTACCAAATAACTCAAATTCACATCTCTTCAAGATTTTATTATATATTCTGCCTAAGGAAAGTAAGTATCTTATAAAACAAATTTCCAAATTTTAAAGACTTTGAAAATTTAAAGAAAAAGAGCTTTGATTTACATACCATAAAATCACCCATTTTAGGTATACAGTTTGATGAGTGTCAGTAAATTTACAGTTGTGAAACCATCACCACAATCTGGTTTAACAATACTTCCATCATCCCACAAAAGTTCTTTGTGCCCATTGTAGTCCATCCCTTTTCCTATCCCCAGGCAACCACCGATCTGCTTTCTGTCTCCCTACATTCCATTTTATAAACGGAATTTTGCTATATCAAATCTTTTCTATCTAGCTTTTTTTCACTAAGGATGATATTTTGAGATTCAGTCACATGTTCATGTATCACTAGTCTGTTCTTTTTTACTCCAGACTAGTATTCCATTCTATGGATATAGCATATCTTTATCCACTTTCCATTTGATGAACAGTTTTCTTTACAGTTTTTGGCTATTATGAATAATGCTACTATGAACATTTGCATATAAAGCCTTTATATGGACCTACATCTTCATTGCTCTCATGTAGATACCTACAAGAAGAACTGCTAATTATATAACAAGTACAGCCAGTGTAGTGGATGGGAAGTGGGATCTCGTTGTAGTTTTATTTTGCATTTCCCTAATGACCATTAAGGTACAGCATCTTTTTACATCATGTTCAATCTGTACATCTTATTTGGTGGAGTATCTGCTCAGATATTTTGCCAATTTTTGATTAGATATTTGTCTTTTTATATTGAGTTGTAGGAGTTCTTCATGTTATTTTGATACATATTCTTTATTCTGTACATACTTTTCTCCCAGGCTGTAGTTTGCCTGTTCATTTTACCAAGTTTCTTTTATAGACAAAAGTTTAAATTGTTTTTTGATTTTTTTATTATTTTTTGTAAATAAAGTTTTATTGGAACCCAGTCACACCCATTCATTTACATATGGTCTATGGCTGATTTTTTTTAATATGAAATTTATTGTCAAATTGGTTTCCATACAACACCCAGTGCTCATCCCAAAAGGTGCCCTCCTCAATGCCCATCACCCACTTTCCCCTCCCTTCCACCCCCATCAACCCTCAGTTTATTCTCAGTTTTTAAGAGTCTCTTATGGTTTGCCTTCCTCCCTAATTTTTTTTTTCCCTTCTCCTCCCCCATGGTATCCTGTTAAGTTTCTCAGGATCCACATAAGAGTGAAAACATACGGTATCTGTCTTTCTCTGTATGACTTATTTCACTTAGCATCATACTCTCCAGTTCCATCCACGTTGCTACATAGGGCCGTATTTCATTCTTTCTCACTGCCAAGTAGTATTCCATTGTATATATAAAACCACAGTTTCTTTATCCACTCATCAGTTGATGGACACTTAGGCTCTTTCCATAATTTGGCTATTGTTGCAAGTGCTGCTATAAACACTGGGGTACAAGTGCCCCTATGCATCAGCACTCCTGTATCCCTTGGGCAAATTCCTAGCAGTGCTATTGCTGGATCATAGGGTAGATCTATTTTTAATTTTTTGAGGAACCTCCACACTGTTTTCCAGAGTAGCTGCACCAGTTTGCATTCCTACCAACAGTGCAAGAAGGTTCCTGTTTCTCCACCTTCTCTCCAGCATCTAGTCTCCTGATTTGTTCATTTCAGCCACTCTGACTGGCGTGAGGTGATATCTCAAGTGTAAAAGTTTAAATTTTAATGAAGTTCAATTTATCAAGTTTTTTATGTATGTACCTTTTGTGTTATATTTTAGAAATCATCAATGACCCCTGAACCCAATGTCATGAAGACTTTCTCCTGTTTTCTTCCAGAATTTATAGTTTTAGTTTTTACATTTAAGACCATGAGCACTGGTAATGTAAGGGTCAAGTTTATTATTTTGAATATGGGTATCCAATTGATCCAGCACTATTTCTTTTTTTTGTTCATTTTGTTTTTATTTTATTCAGACTCATGTTAGTTAACATATAGTGTAGTATTGGTTTGACGAGAATTCAGTGATTCATCACTTACATGTAACACCAAGTGCTCATCTCAACAAGTGCGCTCCTTAATGCCCATCACTCATTTAGTGCGTCCACCTACCCACCTCCCCTCCAGCAACCCTCAGTTTACTCTCTGTATTTAAGAGTCTCTTGTGGTTTGCCCTCTCTGTTTTTATCTTATTTGCCTTCCCTTCCCCTATGTTCATCTGTTTTGCTTCTTAAATTCCCCATGAGCCCAGCACTATGTCTGAAGAGATTGTCTTCTTACCCACTGAGTTATTCTGGCACCTCTGTTAGAAATTAACGGACTATACATGTGAGGGCCTACTTCTAGACTCTCTTCTGTCCTACTGCTCTATATGTTTATCCTTATGTCAACAACAGAACATGTTGATGATCATTACAACTTTACAGTAAGCTTCAAAATAGATAGTGTAAGTCTTCTAACTTTATTATTTTTTTCCAAAATTTTTTACCTATTCTAGGACCTTTAACTTTCCATATACATTTTAGATTGGCATGTCTGTTTCTACAAAAAAAGGCTACTGAGATGAAGAATTTTTTTTTAAAGTAGGCCCCACGCCCAGCATGGAGCCCAGTGTGGGGCTTCAACTCATGACCTTGAGATCAAGACCTGAGCGGAGATCAAGAGTTGGGCACTTCACTGACTACTGAGCCACCCAGGCATCCCTGGGATGAGGATGTTTATAATAATGAATATTCATAAAGTATTTTAAAATCATGCTATGCACCCAAGGTCATCAGTTTAAGTACCAAACTACAGTGAACTCTCCCACTAGCTATGTAACTTTAGGCAATCTTTAAGCCTCTGTATTCTTTCCTTCTTTTTTTTAAGTAATCTTTACATCCAACACGGGGCTCAAACTCATGACCAAGACAAGAGTCAAATGCTCTACCGTCTGAGCCAGCTAGATGCCCCATCTGTTTTCTCATCTATAAAATAAATGGGGACACCTGGGTGGCTCAGTCAGTTGAGCATCCAGCTCTTAATTTCAACTCAGGTCACGATTCTAAGGTGGTGGGATTGAGCCCTGCATCCAACTCTGTGCTGAGTATGAAGCCTACTTAAGATGTGTCTCTCTGTCTCTCTGTCTCTCTCTCTCTGCCTCTCTCCCCTGTTCTCTCTCTCTAAAATTAAAAAAAAAAAAAAAAAATTTAAAGAATTTAACAAATAAGTGAATGGGTTGGCTTACTGATCTATTCATCAATTTGGCATGTATAATTTTTTAATTCTAAAATTCACTCATTCAATGATAGTATTAATGATCATTAGTCTACAAAGGTATAGAAGTATTCCTAAAGTTTGGACAAACTAAATATCAGCTAATAGAAAATTTGATTTATTCAACAATACAACAGAATATGTCCAGAGCAGTATTAAATTCATAGAACTATTACCTTATTGAGCAAAGCAACCTGGAACCCAGTGTATTCTTTCATATTAAGGTCTAGCAGTCTGTGAGGAACATCCTCTGAAATTCCCTGGAGCAACTGTTGAAAATCTTTCCTATAAGCCATTGATAAACCATGTGATCGGCTTCGGACTTTAATTCCAGTTTCCTGTACTACTTTTTTGCCTACAGATCCGATGACTCGATCAGATTCTATTTTGGCCTAAAGTAAAAATAAATAAGAGTTGGTCTCAACATAATCTAAATTAATAAATTAAACACTAATAGTTTTGGTCTTCTATAAATTAAATACATATTTATATTTTAAAAGTATGTAAGAAGTTAAAACCTCAAGTAGCACAGTTTATGTCAAGTTCTTGGTAAACTAAATATAGCTTCAATAATAATGTCTTACAGTTTTAAATCACTATAATAACCTTCTGGAGCAGGGCAAACAAAAACAATTTCAATTTTATTTTATTTACTAATAGCCACTACACTTAAATCATGAAATGTTTAAGTGCATCCTAAATGAAAATATGTATTTCTAAATCAGAGGTGATATAAAATTAGGGAAAAAAATCTCATCAATATTTACTTAAAGACACTATTATTAGCACATAATTAAATCTTCACAGGTATAACGAAAAGTGATGTAGTTTTTCACTGACAACAAGTAGTAATATTTTGACTCTTTCCAACCTACATCTCGATTAGCAGTTAAAGTAGCGATGGCAAAAGTACTGGAAAAATAATGAATTCTATACAGTAGTAGTATCTTGGCAGTCTAACTGCATACTGCTTGACTACCAAAGAATCTATTACTGTGATATGCCCCAAATGACAAAATCAGCGTTTTCAACAAATATTTCAAAAGAAAGTCCCATTTTGAAAGAAAAAAACTACAGGTTTTAAAACATAAAGCAAAAGAAACTGATTTTTAAGAAAAGCAACTTTCTAACATACATTTCTCAAAAGAAAACATAATGAATGTTCACAGAATTTCTAGGACACTAATGAGGCCACTTTCATAAACTAGGAATTATTATTTGAAATTAACATTCCAAAACAGCATACCACGTACTTGAGACTGAATTATGTTAATATATATGTGGTTTTAAAACATGTAATGTATTCATATAACGTAATTCCATCAGAACCAGGAGAACTAACATTTGCATTGAAAACCATTCAAAATACTTAATGGTTCTATTTCTTAACATTACCTGTTGACTCAATTTTTTGAGGTATGAAATGACACTGTAACTAAGTCCATATTCCATACTGTCTGCTATTAGGTTAGGTGCTCCCATCATTCTAACAGCTTTCTTCAAAGGCTATAGGAAAAAAGAAAATATCACTCAATCCTAAACTTGTCAAAAAACTTATGGCTACATGTATTGTCAGTTTTGAAGATTTTCCAAGAAAGACTTTCTTCTTTTCTTCAATAAGAGAGTAACATGATCATATTTGTATTTCAGTGAAATGTTTGCCTTAAAAAGGACTAGAGGCTATATTTTACCCACACACGGGCAAGAAAGGGTAAAGTCCTGGACTCCTTAGTATCATCGGAGATACTAAGTTTGGAAGAAATGGGGAAGATACAGATCACAGAGGTAAATTTGATAGAAATTAAGTAGTAAGTGAAAAGAAGTCAAGAAAAATGGAAGATTTCTACTTTGGGTAACTGAGTGGGTTGTGGCTCAACCATTCACTAGCTTTGTGACCCTAGACCAAGTTATATATCACCTCTCTGTGTCTGAAGTTTTTCTTTCGTATAACAATAATAGTATCTACTTCATAGGGTTGCCATGGGATTAAATGAACTATACACGTAAAGCACATATAAAAGCATCTGGTACACAGGAGGCATTCAGTAAGTGCTAATCATTACTACTGTTACTATTAGCTGAACTGAAAAATCAAAACAAGCTCAGAGGGAAAAATAAGAAGGAAAAGCCAGTTTAATATTTGCTATGTATAGTGTAATACTTTTCAATTGTAAGGAGAGCCCAGTCGAAACCACTTGTGCAACGAAAAGAATCACCAGTATATTTGAGCGGGATACAGTCAAAAAAGGATGACAGCCATTCACTGACACCAGAAAGTGTATATGCACTGGTGTCAAACTGGAATCAAATCCAGCTCTGACATCTCAAATCCATGTAGCTTTGCCTGAATTCCCCAGGTTGCTAGGAAAACGAAAGTACGTCAACAGACCTAACAGTTCATATTCAGTGCGTCTTTCTTTTTACTCTCTTACATGGCAGGCGCTATGTGCTAGACACACAACTTATCTCTTACAACTCTAAAATATGATTTTCAAAGCTCAAGACACTAATGCTCTTAGTAGAGACCATTTAGAAGGATTATAGTCAAATGCTATACTATTCCTCCATTTTTAAAAGTAAAAGTAACGTTTAAAAGTGCTTTTAGCATTGGTCTTTTTAGTAAGAGGTTACTTTTTCAAAAAGTAAATAATATATTTAATAATATATACATTACGGTCTTATCTACTGTGATACACTAGGTTGTTAAGTACAGGTGGCCACTGAGCAACATCAGGGTTAGGAGTGCCAACCCCCGCACAATAAAAAATCCGCAGATAATTCTGACTCCCCAAAAAGTTAACTAATAGCCTGCTATTGACCAGAAGCCTTACTAATAACATAATCAATTCACACAAATTTTCTGTGCAATATGTATTATAGACTGTATTCTTACAGTAACTCTGAGGTTTATCTTGATTTTTTTTTTTTTTACATTTTCAGGCTATACGATTCATCTGAGAGTTTTTCAAATTGCCACATATCTAAAAAAATTTTTCCATTATATTTATTGAAAATAATCCACATATAAGTGGACCTATCCTCTTCAAACCTGTGTTGTTCAAGGGTCAACTGTAATCACAATCTCGTGGTTCTAAAAATAGGAGTCTATAAGAATATATACTTATCTACCTAAAAACATGTTTTTAGAGATTTAGGGAATAATGCAAAAAAACTATTCTGCACCCTTAAGGAATAATAATTATAAAACTGCAATTTAACAAGGCAGTACAACAATTGGAGCTATTCTAAAAGCCAGGCTGCCTGGGAGTAAATTCCAGTCTCCCACACAAGTAGCCTTGGACAAATTACTTAATCTTTTAATACCTTAGTTTCCTCATCTATGAAATAGGAATGATGATCTCTACCTTGAAGGATTACCATATAAACTAAATGAGGTAAAATACTTAGCATAATATCAGGCCTAAGGTAAGCATTATATACATGTTCTCATCGTCATTATCATTGCCATCATCTTTATTCCACAAATCACTGAAATCTTTCTTTCCCATTACATCTTTATCGGTCATTTGTACACTCAATTTTCATGACATTTATATATTCTATATATTCTATAACAGCAGTAAATACAAATAAACTATAAACATAATGTAAAATTTTGTAACAAGTTCTATTTTTAACAATCACATTCTTACCCCAAGATAGTAGGGAGGCATTGTCTTCAAATAACTTTCAAATGACTGTCTCCACTTCAATGTTGGTTTTGCTTTATGTACTTTAAACAAGTCATCTATAAATGAATGTGAACAAACTATCATCATTTTTTTCAGACACGAAAATCAAGTCAAGCACGTTTCATTTTTAAACACTGCTTTCATATTTGTAAGAGAGTAACATATCAGACATCAATTTTTAACAAAATTAATAGTGGCAAAATTTTGGTTCTGCCATTGAGCAGTAATACCATTTTAAAAACAAAAAGATGCTAATCATGATCTAATATTTCATGAAATAAAGGTAGAATCAGATAAGACACAAGAAAATCTGTACACTATCTAGACCTCAACATAAAACAGATTTGAGGACAGAAACAAAGTATACACAATGTTTTCAATAAAATATACCTACTAATATTTTGACTATAAATTTTTTTTTGATGATAATATTTAAATCTGAAGTGGTTCCATGCATAGAAGTCTTCTCCAACAGTACTGCTCAAAAATTATAGCCAGAGGGTCCCCAGAAACTAACTTTAGGCTTTTATTATATCATTGGAACACATTCATTCATTTAAAAAATATGTGCCTGGATGGCTCAGTCGGTTGAGCGTCCGACTCTTAATTTTGGCTCAGGTCATGATCCCAACGTCCTGGGATCAAGTCCCACGTCAGGTTCTGTGCTGAGTATGGAGCCTACTTAAGATTCTCTTCCTTTCTCTCTGTCCCCCTCTGTCACTCTCCCCCACTCACATGCACACTCTCTCTCTCTAAAAAAAATAAATAGACAAGCATGTGCCAAATGAAAATTATAGATAAATTCTTAGAAAGAAAATACATTCAGATCTATAAATATATGCTTCTACAAAAATCCTTATTTACCAAATACAAAGCCTCTATTACCAATTCTCACTATGTAAGAAAGCTAACTTGTAGAAAACTTGGAATACTTAAAAATTTAAAACACAGTATCTTCAATAGTTTGTAGAATCAAAGGTGTTTTGACACTGACTTTTAATTTACCACAAACATACACAGGTTGCTATAAAACAACCTTAGATAGGTTCGATATTTCAGAGTATTAACAACAGTTCCGTTAATTTCCACAAAACATGAGAACTTACAAAGACATGTTCCCAATCTTTGTTTTTAGGAAAATCAGTATGTATGCTGAGACACGAGTGACTTACCTAGAAGGGGCAAGAGGACGGGGTAATTGTAAGGCATCACAAATAAGTTGACACAGTTCAGTGCTGTACTGGCTTTCAAGTAACCAAAGGGATGACCGAGCTCGCTGTATTTTGCACTATTGCTCACATATACCTGTTAAAAGGGAGTGGTTGAAACTTCACATTTAATAACCTTTACAGAATGTTATTGAAACCATTGATTCAATTTAACTTTAACTTAAAAAGAAAAAAACACCCAACTTCAATTTTTAGGTCACTGTAGTTGCTCAGCTCACCTGCCAACATGTTTGAGGAGATTTCCTTTCCAGGATAAACTGAGTCAGTGGCGAAGGTTCCAACTCATATTTGTCAAAAGGCAATTTGTCAATAACCATCGGTTCACAGTCTGTACAGGAAAACTTCACTACAGGATGAGATGTACGAGGTGGCTAGAGAGGAAAGTCTTATTATTACTATTTACACAAAATACCAGAACAAACTCATTTTCCATATCCCTCACTATCAAAATTTACTCAAGTCCTCAATTTTGCTGGTTAGTTTAATTTACTACTGACTACACTATTAAAGCTGAAAGAAAATACTTTAAAATGTAATGCTTAAGTTTTATATAATACAAGAAAAAGACAAACCATTTATATATAGGATAAAAATCTTTTTAGGTGGTAAAATCAAATTTGTCAGAAGTGCAAAATTTTGGAATAAGTGAGTACTCATAATTGTCACATCTAGGAAACAACTGAAGTACAGAAACCTTACTAAGTTCTCAACTGTAGCAATTTAATTTCTTGTATGGAGTGGTAGCTTCCAAACTGATAATAGACCTTGTGGTCAGTAAAAATTGCTGAATATATATTAGGACATATACACATTTACTTATAAATTATCTGTAAATTAACGTATAAGTATGTAATAAGATATATACCAAAATAATATTAAAATTCGGAGAAAAACATACATAAAAAGAAGTTCTAATGTTTTCCTTCCCTATTCCAGTAGACCATTTGGTTACCTCTGTGGTATTATATACACACTACTTTGGAGAACCTGATCTAAAAGTACAAAAAACCAAAATACCTTAAAGGAAAAAAAAAAGACATGTTAGAATCCCTGCCCGCCAAATAGTCTCCTTCCTGAAAATCTCACCAATTGAAGGAAATGTAAGCTCTGAAGAAATAACCTGAAATTTCACAGTATGAAAGACTCTTATTACCCCATTACTACCTACACCCTGGTGGCTCCCAATCCACCGTATTGGGACCTGATCTCTCTCACCTCTCTTATGTTCCAACTGCCTACTAGACAGAAGTCCCTCAAATACATTATTATGCAATTCGTTACTTCTCCCCTAAGCTACAAAACCTGTTCTAAAAACCTAGGGGTTGGTTATCCTTAACATCTCTTTATCCTCCATATTTAACTATCACAAAAGCCTAGATAAAACCCCGCAAATTCTAAACCACCAGGCAGAACACATCAACTTGGCAGGTGCTCAGTATTTAGTTACTGCCCTCTGTCAGTACTAAATTCTCACTCTCTAGAAATTTATCTTTTATTTGTTAGTATTCTAATTTATGCCATCATCATTTCTCAGACTAGACTAGTACAACTACTTATTTTTAATGGCCCTAATTAGCTCCCTCCAATCAATCCCATAGCCACAAAATATAAATATGATCATGTCATTTCCCTATCTGCAATTATTTGGTAAAAGTAGCAAGCTAATCACCTAAAAATAGGACCCAGACTCTTTTCTCTAAACATCAGATACAAAGAGCCCTGATGATCCGGTCCCCATCTGCCTTCAACCACGGCACACCGTGTACACCCCACACTCCAGCCATGCCAAAAGACTTGCAAGTTACGCAAGTAGATCATCATCTTTTCACACTCCTGCTTTCATGTCATCCCTGGCAGCTTTATTATTTTCTTCCTTGCATATTGGCAAACAAAGTCTTGAAGTCTGAACTGGCAAGTAAAATGTCTCAGAGATTTTCTCCCTGACACCCTTTCTTGCCCTACACCCCCAGGACATACCAGGCATTTAGGCATCACCTCCTCTCGGCTCTGCTCCATGCCTCTAGCACAGTTAGAGCACTGTAGTGTACTGTGTTTACAGTTACAAGTCTGACCTTCCTATGGAATGGTAAGATGCCATCGTTTTAGAAGGTAAGCACCATCGTTTTACTCATACTGTGCTCCTGTATCTTGCATGTAACTGACACATATCTTACTGAATCAGTCCATGAAACTCATCTTTTTGGATTAAAATATTGAGATCCAAGAGCAACAATGTGTGTTGGTGAGAGAGGGTGTCTTCCAGAACGTGACAAAGAAAATTTTGCATTTATTACTTCATTTAATCCCCAAAACAATCCCATGAGATAGGAGCTATTATCTCCATTTAACAGACAGGAAATTGAGGCTTAGAGAAGATAACAGACCAAACTCACAGCTAATAACTTGTGGAACCATGATTTCAATTCAGAACCAGGGGCAGCTGGGTGGCTCGGTCAGTTAAGTGACAGACCCTTGATTTTGGCTCTGGTTGTGATCTCACCGTTTGTGAGTTCCAGTCCTACTCTGGGCTGCAGTGACAGTGCAGAGTCTGCCTGGGATTCTCTCCCTCTCTCTCAAAATAAATAAATGAACATTAAAAAACATCTACTTAGAGGCACCTGGGTAGCTCAGTCAGACTCTTGGTTTCGGCTCATGTCATGCATGATCTCACAGTTTGTGGGTTTGAGCCTCGAATTAGCCTCTGTGCTGACAATGCGGAGCCTGCTTGGGACTCTCTCCCTCTCTCTCCTTCTCTTTCTGCCCTCTCCTGCCCCCACTGCCTCTCTCTCAAAATAAATAAATGAACCTAAAAAAAAGGTAGGTATCTTTCAAAACATAAAAATAAAAAAATGAAAAAAATCTATTTAAACAAAACAAAAAATAAAAATTCAGAACCAGTTGCTAAAACTCACATTTAATTTCAGTATCATTGCATCTTATTTGAATACTATTATTTATAAAAATTTCATTTCCCCACTAATATATCCTTCAGTACTAAATCTTGCCAGTGCTTTCCAATATTGTCTCTTTATGATTCTCTCTTCCATCATCTTAATTCAAACTCTCAACATTTCTTACGTGAATCATAGCAATAGCCCTCTAGATAACCTGCTTTCTTTCCAACTCATCTCCTAATATTGCTGCATATGACAACCACCAGATTAAATTTCCTACAACATCACTCTGTTAAAAATATCTTCACTTATTCTGTGAACCCCAATGAGAAAAGCTCAAATTCCTTAACCATGCATTTAAAGTCGTGAGTACTTTGGTTTATTTAATAGTGTTCTCAATGTCCCACATACATGGTATGACCCACCTATACTCTGCTATTTCTCATTCCTCTAAATACACCTTGTTCTTTTTTACTTCCATACTTTTTCTCATATTGTTTCCTCCCCAACTGAAATCCTACCCACACTTAAAAATCCTCTAACAATTTGCAATAGGCCATTAGAGCAGTATTAATAGATTATGCTTGTGACACTGGTTTTGGATTTCCTTCTATTAGGACTTAACAAGTACTACACATATACACAATAGAATGAATAACCAACAAGGCAATATTTGACACAAACACAGTATCTTTTCTATGAAAGTTGAATGGACACCCAAAGGGAAAGTAAAATGACAAAAGAAATTAAGAGTTTATCTATAAAGGCCAGATTTTAAAACTATGATGATTCAATCAGAACAAGGAAAGGAATAAAGAAGATACTTCACTAAAATTTATAAAGCCTTAATTTCATGTATTACTTCATTAAATCCCTACTAAATAAAGGAAATACCACTTTATAGACCTGTATAGAGTAAAAGTAAAAAGTCCCTGAAGAGTTGATATAGGTTTAAAGTATAAAGGTTTCAACTTGTGCACTCTTGGTGGGAATGCAAACTGGTACAGCCACGGTAGAAAACAGTACGGAGGTTCCTCCGAAAGTGAAAACTAGAACTACCCTACAATCCAGCAATTGCACTACTAGGTATTTACCCTAAGGACACAAAAATACGGATTCGAAGGGAGACATGCACCCCAGTGCAACATCATTATCAACAACAGCCAAAATATGGAAGCAGCCCAAGTGTCCATCGATAGATGAATGGATAAAGAAGATGTGGTATATAAATACAATGGAATATTATTCAGCCATAAAAATAATGAAATCTTGCCATTTGCAACAACATGAATGGAATTAGAGAATATTATGCTAAGCAAAATAAATCAGAGGGAGACAAAATACCGTATGATTTCACTCATGTGTAACTTAAGAAACAAAACACAGAAGCAAAAGGAAAAAAATAAGAGAGACAAATCAAGAAGCACTCTCAATTACTGATGGTTACAAGGGGAGGTCGGCAGGGGATGGGTGAAATAGGTGACGGAGATTAAACAGAGCACTGTGATGAGCACAGGGTGATGTATGGAGGTGCCGACTCACCATATTGCACACCTGAAACTAATATAACACTGTATGTTAACTAGAATTAAAATAAAAATAATGAAGTATAAAGGTTTCAGAAAGGGTTCAGTTTAATTCATATAGGATAACTGCATGAAACATTGTTCAAACTGCTTCATGATCTTTGAAATACAGTTCCTATCTTCTAAGGGTAATAGCAAAGAACTACTGTCATGTTCTCCCACACAGTATCCTATAAACCTTCAGATACCAGAAAAAAATGTTGATCTGAAAAAACAGTGTATTAACAACACCGAATAGATATTAATTTACATAAGGTTATCCTGTCACTATAAGAACCATATAGTGAATACTGATAATTCACAATGATCATTCAAGAAGCCCCACCGTTTCTAAAAATAATTCATGTAAACAAGACTAGAAAGTCATTTCTACCTTAAACTTCTGAATGAGAACACTGAACATAACCTAAAACCATGAAAGTCTACATGAATTTCTAAGACTACGTCCTAAAAGATTACAAACAAACAACTGGAACTATTTTCTAAACTTTCATTTAAATTCTAAATTGTGTCCTAGAGACAAACCCTCACATTATATTATATTTAGAGATCAAAGAGAAACTCTTGTTCCATCTATGATTTTGCATCCAGATGCCAATCATAAAAACATAAGCATAGTATTAGATTCTAAAGAAAACAGACACCTTTTTTTCCTACTACTTCATAACAATACAGTGTACTAAATCAAGTAACAGCTTACCATAGCACTTTGAACATTGTCTAATTCCAATAAATTAGCCACACCTTTGATAGCAGTTCTTAAAACTAGTATTAAAGGCAGTTAAGCGGCACCTGGGTGGCTCAGTGGGTTAAGCATCTGACTACAGCTCAGGTCATGATCTCACAGTTCAGGAGTTCGAGCCCCACATCTGGTTCTGTGCTGACAGCACGGAGCCTGCTTGGGATTCTCAGTCTCCTTCTCTCTGCCCCACCCTCCCTCTCCCCCACATGCAGCCTTCTCTCAAAACTAAAAAAAAAAAAAAAAAAAAGCAGTTAAATGGTTACTATTACAAAGTCACAGTCTCTCAGGTACTTACTAGTGTTGGAGAATTCTGATCTGGCCAAAAAGATTCTGGAACGGGCCAATGACCTATAGGAACCCCAGTTTTAGGATTTGGTCTCACATATATGAGTTTGTGACAGCTATGCCAGGGCTGTGATCCAAAAGGCCTTGATATATCTGGCTGCCCATCTGTAGCAAAGAAATGAAGACAAAGAAAGCATATGTCAATAAGGAAAAAAGCAAAAAAGTTAAATTATATCCACTGTTACGTTGCTTAATGAAAATGTCTGAGTTTTCTCATTTTTCTTGAATGGTTCTACTATCATGACTACTTAACATTTATATTAAAATCATGAGAGAGTAAATTCTGCAAATTCCAACTATGAGTTCAACATTTGAAAGGAGGTCCCACAGTATCCTTTGCTTGCCGAGTCAGAATATGTAAAACCTCCTTTATGGTAAATACTTGTTTAATGAATGATAGGTTTTCCCTACCAGATGATAAGGGCAAACACCCAATCTCTTCATCATCATTCTTAGCTTAGTAAATGCTAGGTAAATACTGCTAAATGAATATTTCTTTCAAATCATTTTAACTAAAGCCCATTTAACTAAAAAAATTTAATATGCAAATCCAGATACAAAGCACCTACCTTTAATCTAAACTTATTCTAGCAAAATAGCAACTGTCTTCAACAGTTCAATAAACATTTACTTGGTGCCTAACTCTAAGCCAAATATTAAAATAACTCAAAAATACATTCCATGTCTAAGAATTCAATTAAAGAAAAAGCTTGTTTATTTAAACCAGAGACAGTGACATAATTTCTATAATCTTACCATCTTCTGCTCCTTCCCTATAATCCTCCTCCGAGAGTACCCATTTTTTTTATCTTTATGACTTTTCTCTTCTCCCAGCTACCCACTGTAGTGGACAACCTCTGCCAGGTGTCATTAATGACTTTCTAATTCTTGTTCTAAGCAATGCCATACTACATAGAGGGTCCCAGATATAAGCTGTCCGTTGGTTCTAGTGTAACCCCTTATGCCCTCTAGCTAATAGAAATAGTTCATGATAACAGAATATTAAAATAAAGTCAGGTGGGGCTTAACTAGAGTTAATAGAGTCCAGCTTAATGGCAAAGGCTAGTTTCTCATTTTTGTAACCACACAAACCATTTATTTGTTTCTGACCAGTTTGATCCTTACAAAAATGCAGCTAAGGAAATAAACACCTAGGATGGAACACTCTTGTGACTTATGGGACACAGGAGAAGCATATATGCTGGGGAGAAGCAAAGTGGCACACTTTTTCCTAAAAACGAAATATAAGGTGGCTAATCTGCAAATGGTTAATAAGGTTTTCGACTCCTATAAAAATTTCAGGCTATCAACAATCAATATAAAAAAGTGATGCTACTGAACCACTAGCAGTTCACCTTGACTTTCCTGTTTAATTTTCCCTCTTTACCAATAGCCATTTTGTCATCTCAACAATTTGACCTTGTCCATCTTAAAGCCAAATCATGGTAATTTTTCAGTTCTAGTTCAATGATGAAATTTAGAATGTCTATAAGAAAAGTATAATAATACCTTCTACGGGGGAAGGATCTGGTCCTGCTTTTTCAAAGTTTATTACCACCCCACTTTGCACTTTCTGTACCAAGGACTCCAGACATTGATTAAGCATTCTTGGAGAACATACAGAGTATGAACGGCCTGAGATAAAAAGAATAAAGTTAGTTGCAGAAATTTCTACCTTCGGCAAGACAGAACCATAGTGAGGTTTCTGATACTATTAACAAAAGTTCAATGGTAAAGTCTGACTTTATTTCATGATCTTATGGAAAAATGAAGAAAACTAGTTATTTTTAATCAACCAACAATTCCATTTTATGAGAGTACGTAAACTTTTTCTTCTAAATATAGGTATACAGAAAATAGAAATTTGGTCTGAACAAACAACAATGAAAAAAATCGCATTATATACTTATATATGTAGTATATATGCATATTATATAAGATATAACTTAAAATGCATTTATAAAATTATCTCCCAACTGTTACCAATTTATCTTTCATACACATACACAACATCTAATAACTAACCTTCAAAATCTTACTCCTGCTCAACAAAAATATTATCACTAAGATTAATGCTAAGCACATGGCAGATAATCAATAATTATTTAATTGGTCTGATGGAAATTACTGCATATTTTAAACATTTGCACTTTAACAAATAGATGGTAGCATGGGCTTTTCTGAACTTCATCTGGTTTGCGTAGTTGGGAATTAACCTATCTTCAATGAATTTCCCTTTTGTATATTTTAACCTATAGGATTTTTAGTACAAAGCATTTAAAATGCTAGTGGTTAAAACAAAATACTAGTGAAAAGATCTCTTAAACAGGGATTTTCTTTTCATTTTTTTTCCAACGTTTTTATTTTTATTTTTGGGACAGAGAGAGACAGAGCATGAACGGGGGAGGGGCAGAGAGAGAGGGAGACACAGAATCGGAAACAGGCTCCAGGCTCTGAGCCATCAGCCCAGAGCCCGACGCGGGGCTCGAACTCCCGGATCGCGAGATCGTGACCTGGCTGAAGTCGGACGCTTAACCGACTGCGCCACCCAGGCGCCCCTTAAACAGGGATTTTCAATAAATATATCTAGAGCTGTGTTATCCCATACTGTAATCATCAGCCACATATGGCTACTGAGAACTTGAAATATGACTAGTCCAAATTTAGATGTATACTAACCATAAAATATACACCTGATTTTGTAAAGTTAATAGGAAAAATGTAAACTATTTCAATAATTTTTAAATATCATTTTCATGTTGAAATATTTTTATTTATTGACTTAAAAGATATTAAAATTAATTTCACCTTTTAAGTGACCACTATAATATTTATGATTACATATGTAACTTGTATCATATTTCTCTCATAGGTGTTGATCCAAACCAATGGTGAAAACCTTCAAACATCTTACAATGTTATCTGCAATTAGCTCACTATGAAAACAGTCCTACTCTTTTTTCTGATTCCATCAATTATTTCCAAATACAGTTATATGATTATATTTGACCTATCAAATTACTCATATCAGTTTATACTTAACATGTGATTTGCGAAAGGCTACTCAGAAACGAAAACATTAGGCAGTAGTAGGATTCAAATCCTCAGAGTCAGCTCTACTTAGAAAAACAAGTATCATATAACAAACAACTTACCTGTAGGCAATAATAATAGTCGTAATCATAAAAATACCTACCAATTACTGAGTGTCTACATGCCTGGCACTATTCTACTTACTTTATCATATTAATTTATTTAATCCTAACCACAACTGTATGGGTTACTTTCTTCATTTTATAAGTGAGAAAACTAAAGCACAGAGAGGTTAATTTATCCAAATTAATAACAGCAGTACAGCCAAGAGTCAAACCCTTACAGGTTATTAGAAACTTTAATCTGGGTATACTCTTTTCCCTGGAAATCATGATGTTAATTTGAAATTAGTATTTTAAAAAGAATGCCTAAATGGAACCACACTTATTTGAAAGAATTGGCAGATTAAAATATTTTTGAGTCAAACATATATAAAGCAATATATAGAAAGGCTGATCATCTTAATACACAAAGTATTTAGAAGATTATATAAAGGCTGAATATCTTATTTCATTAAATTTAAGCATATTCCTAAGAAGTCATAAAAAAAACAAAAGTTTCTAAAGTGTAATTGTAGCAATTCTCTCTGCTCTTCTAACCTGTGTCATCATCGGTTGATTAGAAAAACATGAGTAAATGAGTTATAATCTTAGTATAAAATAGAATTACAAAGATACTTTATTAAAATTAAAGAAAAAGCTAATAAACTTAAGTTTCCTGGCAAGTAATAAAAATCCATTAATTCCTTTGAAAGTTAAAGAGGAAATAGGAAATTTTGGCATCTTTACAAAGTAAGCCTATATCCTATGTAATATTTCTTTTATTCTCTAGATCAAAACTCATCTCTTGTACTGTACGACCCTTTGTATTGAAGCAATAAGTTTCTAGGATCACTGCTTATGTTTGTGAGACAGGCACACACCTCACAGTCAAGAAGCTGGCTCACTTATTGTTGTGTAGAGTCCACAAAAACATCAAACTAAATAAAGTGAGTCTAAAGGCAAAAGTGCAAAAAAATATTCTCCCACAGAAGCCTACTACACCAGCATTTTAGTCAAATGGAAAAGAGATAAAAAGAATATTTCCAGTAAGTTGAGCAACAGTCCTTGTAGAGGCTAAGAAAGTTAAACTGATTTACTCTACAATCTTACACAATTTTTGTAAAATGCTTCTACCATCATCTCCACTGAGCATTTTTTGACTTGATAGCACTGTACCGCCTCCAAACCTGCTTCTCCCTGGTGTGCCACCTCAGTCCATGTCATAGCCATTTACCTCCAATATTCAGGTCATCCTTGATTCATTCTTCCCTCACTGCCTTCATCCTTAGTTCTCCTTTGCATCAGACCACCTCTCACCACCCACAAACCCAGCACTTTAGACCAAAGTACTGTCATCTCTTAACCAGCCTCTCTGTTTCTATTCTTGCCACTTTACGCTATATTCTCATCCAACAGCTGAAGTGATCTTTCAGATAAAGAAATCAGATGTCACCTCCTATATAAAAAGCCCCAGTGCTTCTCGTCATATTTGGAAATAATATTTATTATAGCCTAAAAGGTTATTTGATATTTGTCCTTTGCCTACTGCCCTAAACCCACCTGTTTACTCTCTACTTCACATCAGCCTTCCTGCCGCTCACCAAAATACAAAGTGTGTTCCTTCCCTTACTACATCTCTCTGTATGGTTTACTCCATTATTCAGATCTTTGCTCGAATGTTAAGTAGACTTACTGTGAGGGTTCATTTTACGATATATAAAATATCAAATCATTATGCTATATACCTGAAACTAATACGCTGTAGGTCAGTTCTACCTCAATAAAGATTCAGTGAACATGCTGTAACAATAATTTTAGAGAGATTAGTATTTTTAAGACACAACTAAGATTGATTTAATCCCTATTAAAACAAGCGGCTTTACCTTTAAGGTTAGAGATATACAAATGTAATTTATAAAATAAATGTTGTTGGGGCACCTGGGTGGCTCAGTTGGTTGGGCAACTGACTTAAGCTCAGGTCATGATCTCACAGGTCGTGAGTTCGAGCCCTGCGTCGGGCTCTGCACTGACAGCTCAGAGCCTGGAGCCTGCTTCGGATTCTGTGTCTCCCCCTCTCTCTGCCCCTCCCCTGCTCATGCTCCGTGTCTCTCTGTCTCTCAATAATAAATAAACGTTAAAAAAAAAAAATCTCTTTAAAAAAATAAATAAATGTTTTATTTCTTTAAACAAGTATAATAATCTCCGAGGATAACTAATATATTAAATTGATTCAAACTAGGAGGGGTAAGCGTATCTTTTAGGTTTATGGCTTAAAAAAAAAAAGTCACCTCCTCAAAAGACCTTCTCAGAACACTCATTCTCTGCCTCAAGTTATTCTCTACACCCTTACCCTACATTTTCTTCATAGTAAGTAGCACTCTCCAAAAGTGTTTATTCATTTTATGATTTTATCTATCACACAGTCCAAAAAAGTAACCTTTGCTTATTATTGTTCCTGCTGTATTTCCAGCACCAAGAACAGTTATATAGAGTGGATACTCATTCATTAGCTGATAAGAAAAGAAAATTGCTTACAATGACAATTATATAATTTTTTTAAAGTACACATAGAAAACATAACAAAATACTAATGATTTTGGCAACACAGGCACATTTCTTTCCAACTTTTCCTTAGTAAACAAGAATTATTCTATGAAGGCAAAACAAATGAACATACACTACTCTTACCATTAAGTTTAAAAATGCACAGGAATTGTTAGTAGTGATTATATATCTGGATAGTGCAATACTAGTGGGTTTAACTTTTCTGTTCTTTCTACTTTTCTAGTGCTTTATCCTCAAAACTTTCGTTAGTAAAACTTTCGTTTTAAAATAATAAAAAAGGAATACATATTATTCAGATCTATGAAAAGGTGAGTGGCATTTGAGCAGCTTCTCATTATTGCTATAGCAAGAGCATGAAAAGAGGCAAATAAACCACTACATCAGGAGACATTGAGGATATGTATTTGGGGAAGCTTTTCCTGACCAAGGTTTCTGGGTCATTGAAAGATATTACCAAGGGTGACTTCATCTGGAGATGTTCCTTTCAAAGAATAAGCAGAATAGCTTTAGTACATTACTGCCAAAGGCAAGGATATTAACCACTACATGATCTCTCAGGTTCACTGCAGACCCTCTCTGCTTATACCACTCACTTCATTTCACACTCTGAATATTCTTGATTCTAGAAGACCAAAGTTACAGTACATATAGTCCCATACCTTTATCCTAATTCTGAGTAAATAATATATAGTAAAAAATTTTCCAATGCAAAAGTGTTAATTACAGCTTCAAGGACTTCAATCTGTTAATTAAAAACTAGAACTAAAAAAAAAATTATATTATCTATCTACCTATCTATGTATAGAGATAGATAGATAGATAGATAGGTAGATGTATCAGGATTTTAGCAAGTAAGTCAGTTCAAGGCAAAAAACTAAACTTTTCTGAATACAAATGTGAATCTACCCATAGAACAATTGGGGCTGTCACTGAAAAATATTATTCATGCAAAAGGAATTGTTAGCAGTGAATTTTCACATTTCGATAGACAGGTTTTCCCTTTAAGATGTATGTATATAACTTTTTTTTTTAATATAAATTAAACTGAAAGAATTATAAGAGTTTACCAGAAAGTACTTCTATAAATAAGAACATTTAATAATGTGAAAACAACTTCTTAATTATCTACTTTACATATCTGTGTAGGGTACCTGTTTTGTCTGTGAATTTTGCAGATTTCCAAACTCCCCACAGAATTGAAGAAAGGTACCTAAAATGTTAATTAAATCTCGTATTTTCCTTTAAACTGATACAGCTGGCTATGACTGTGTCTGGAGACTAATAATGTCACAGGCCTCTGACACAGGTGAAATAGTGGTATGCCAGACCTGGACATTTTAGTATCAAATTCCTTAGGTGAGAACTAAAATGCTCCGTGAAAGCAAGAATACCGTTGCCTGTCATACTCACTACTGAAGTCTGAAAGCATAAGATAGTGTTTCATACACAGTAGACACTCAATACCTATCGGTATGAATTTAACCCACCTGCTGACCAATTCCACATTACAGAAGTTCTGAGTCTGTTACATATTTTCTTTCAAGAGTATCATTACTGTTCACTTAACACAGGGACCAGATGGGTAAGACCTCGCTACCTGGTCCTCTAACCTGCTATCCAGCTTTGTCTTTGCCTCTAGGGAAAACAGCACTTAACCAGGCATTGATCATTATATGGTTGATGAGATGATTCTCAAAATTCTCCGCATTTTTCACAGAAAATAATTCTGCCACACTTGTAAATACTGGTAATCTTTATAGAGAAGAAAAAAAGTTTAACAACTTCAAATACCAGCACTTTCTATATGGGTAGAGGAAAAAGACCACTCATTTCAGATCCAATAGTATTAAACCCCATTCAAATCAGATCGCAGACATTCATCAATGGATTTTTAAAACCATGTAGGTCTACTAATTCCTACCATTAGCGTGTTGAACGACAACATGGAGTTTTTGAAATGTGCATTTTAAAACATTCAAACTCTGCCTTAACTCACTGGATTACTGCCAGGAGAAAAACTTACCGCCTGTCACTTCACACATTGGTGTGATCGCAGAGTCATCTAAAGGCACACCTGTCAACTGTTCTGATTCTACTGACATGGTGCCAGGCAACCGCAACACTAGTGCAAAGAGTCTCTGATCCCAACGAAAAGGTTCCTTGGTCAATTCACTTCCAGGCAAAGGAGAATTAAGAGGTAAATGAAGCTGAAAATAAGGGGGGAAAAAGGTAAGATTTCCACATGATGTTTTTCTCAAAAGGCCACATTAATTACACGTATATTAAAACTATGTATCACGAGTCTCCTATCACTCAAAAAACAAGCTCAAGAACAAAAGCTTATACAGATACAGCTAAAATAAGCACATGAGACATAGTTACTTCATTCTCCTAAGTTTTTACTCTAAAGACCTCGATTGAAAAAAATCTGTTACTGTAATGCTTTCCAGATTTCCATTCAACTGACCACCAAGTGCTGGACTGCTTCCAAATAAATCATTTCATTTAATCATTAAAACAAGCCTATCACAAATATCTTATTATTCCTGTTTTCTAGATTAAAACAATGTCTTGCAGAGAGTAAGTGATTTGGCCACCTGGGTCCAAGTCACTGCTTTTTCTATTACACCACAGCAGCCTCAAACATCTCCAGTTAATAATTTTAATTATGCTCTATTTGTGACAAAACATACATTCCCCAAAACACCTGCATAAAAGTAAATTTGTCACTCTAATTACATGTTAAATGTATTAAAGATAATGATTCTTCCCACATCTGAGTAAAGGTAGAGGGTTTTTATTTCTCCATGTGTTTTTTAATAGATGTGTTTTCCCAACCCCATCAGACCTGCTAAAATAGAATCTAGGATTCTTCAGAATCTTCAAAAGCTTTGAAGTAATTCTAATGGGCACCTCTGCACCAAAAGAGTAATAGAGTACCAAGAGAATCCACACATTAATCTTAGAGTAACTAAATGGGGACAACCAGACAGAATATGTATCAAGAAGTGACCCAATAGCAAGTGCGTAACACTGAAAGGAAAGAAAAGGGGAAAGGGAAAACTAGGCTGAACCTAATCAAGCCTTTCATTCTAAATACCAGTTTACAGGGACTACTGGGGAGAGGGGATCAAGTTAAGTACCACCCCAAGAAGCAAGAAGTCAAAGCCAGCAAGTGGGACAACCTACAGGGCAGAGGAGGACCTGATTTCTCCAATAAATCAACGGCCTGAAAACGCAGAGTGGGGAGTGGGGAGGGCTGGTGGAATATTATAGATAAAATGAAGCAATCAAAAGCAAAGATTTGAGACAATTGGGGAAATTTGGAATAATATTACTGGAATTATTAATTTTTTAAGTGTGAAAATGACATGGTGCTTAGGGAAAAAAAATCTTTATTACTTATATAATTTATAGAAAAATAAAGCCTGGGATCAGCATACTCAGGATTTATTTAGAGTTTTCTCTAAAATACAGAAAACACTTAATTTTTTAATTTTTTCTTAATGTTTTATTTTTGACAGAGAGACAGTACGAGCAGGGGAGGGGCAGAGAGAGAGGGAGACACAAAATCCAAAGAAGGCTCCGGGCTCTGACCCATCAGCACAGAACCTGAGCGGGACTCAAACTCCCAAACCACGAGATCATGACCTGAGCCAAAGTTGGACATTTAACTGACTGAGCCACCCAGGGGCCCCCAGAAAACACTTTAAATCAACACCTCTAAATTAACTGCCAAACTTTATACTGCTTTGGTCATACAGCGAACTTAATTGTATTGTTTACAGCCTTTCTATTTCTTAACAAAGAAGATTTCTAATCTTGATAAATTAGGAATTTAAGTCATTCTACACTGACTTAAGACTCAAGTTTCTTCATGAGTTACATTAAACCATTAAAAAAAAAAATCAGATTCTATTCTAGGAAGAGAATTCCTAGTGAAGCCCTGCTAAACTGGCACCTCTCTCCGAAAGGTTCATGCCAAGAGAATATGCTGCAGGATCAAAATCAGCCAAGGTTTTGTGACCATGGCCAGGAGTCATGAGCTTTTCCTCTGGCACTGATCCTACTTAAAGCAGAAGTCAGTGGCAGTAAGGAATGTTGAAGAAATCTGGGCCAGGATGTTCTGTGATGAAGGTTCCCTAACCTCAAAGGCTCCGTGACTCTCGGAAAACAGTTCAGGAACTCCAAGCCCTTGCTAATATTACCACACTGCCAAGAAGACAAAGAGGAAAAGCCTATTTCTATCAGCTCCTTTACTCCAGACCAGTTACCTCTGTACCTGGGAAGCACAACGATTTGGTGCTTGGTCATTTTCTCTCTAAGATCACAAAAACATCAAAGCACAAGTGGCACTGGAGGAAGAGGGTTTTGAACTGTTAACAGAATTACTCTGGATGTCATGAATACATGGAATTGTCTCAAGAATCCAGTGGATAACAGCACTGCACAGACCTCATATATAAGCAGCAGACAGCACACTGACAGACCACAAACTATATACACATACACACGAAACTCATCAAGTAATAATCTCTCTCCCTCTCTTCCTGCCCCTCCACACACACACACACACACACACACACACACACACACACACACACAAATCAGATAATGATAAGCATCTACAAGGGAGACAATACACAACGAAATAACTGGCCTTTGTAGAATGCCAGATCTGGAATTTATTTCAAATACATAAATCAAACAACTAAGAATGGTCATAACTATATTTTATACATAGTTATATTAATTTTATAAACTTGTCAAATTTTTATTCATTTTTCTATTTATCATTTCCCCTTCCCCATATCACAACTACCCTTTCTCATCAACAAAGAAGAGGGATAAAAAAGCCCCTATAGCTGAAATGTGCTAGTAAAACTGGAAGGAGCGATGGCAGGCAAACAGGGACAGGACAAAGGGCCTGAAGGAAAAATATTCTTAGGAAGGTTGAATTACTCCAAAGCTAAAGTCTACAGCTGAAATTCTAGCAATGTGTTAAAATCACAAATGGAGGTCTCTCTCAATATATGGACTTTGAGAATCAAGGCAAATTGCACATAAATCAAGAAAAATGTTAAAATTAACCATAAAAATGTACAAAATTATGAACAGGTTATTTCCCAACAGTGAAAAATGGGGGGGGGGGGGGGGGGCGGACCCTGAGAAAATCCATATGGCCACATAATACAAATTACAATACTGAGGAGATACCATTTCACACCCATCGTATTAGCAAAATTTTAAAGGTTGACAAAAGTGATGACAAGTATATATAGCAATGGGAACTTTCCATCACTCCTACATACAATCATTTTGGAAAATAATTTGATAATATCTGGTAAGCTAAAGTTGAGCTTACACTAGGACCCACTAATGCCACTTCTAGTTATACGTCTTAGAGAAACTCTCATATATTTTTACAAGAAGCCATGTAAAAGAATACTGTCTACAACATTATTTGAAACAGGAAAACAGGAAACAACCTAGAAGTCCAGTAAAGGAATCAATAAATAAACTGTGGTCTGTTTATAAACCAGAGTTAAAATGAATAAATGAGACCTCTAAGATCCAATATGAATAGATCTCAAAACAATATTTTTTAATATAAAATACATACAATTCATGCATGCATACGTAAAATAACATAAATCATGTATGGACAGCTTGATATATTTTCACAAGTTGAATGTCTTGTGTAATTAGCATTTATATCAAGAAACAGAACCTTACTAATTTATGCCCCCTCCAGTCATTATCCCTCTCCAATTGATCAGTTTTTCTTGATTTTGAACTTTATATAAATGGAATTATAGAATATGATCTCTCTGGTTTATAGCTCCTTCCATTCAATATTATGGGGGTGAGATTCATACTCCTGCATATAAGTGTAGATCATTCATTCCCACTGCCATATAGTGTGTGAATCCGAGAGAGAGACAGAAGGAAAGAGGGATAGAGAGAGAATATGTACTGGAATTTATCTACTTTTTTGTTGATAAGCACTTAGGTTGTTTCTAGTTTAGGTATATTATAAACAGTACAACTATGAAATTAAAGCATGTATTTATGAAAAACATTAAGTATGCATTTCTGTTGGTATATACCTAGGAGCAAAGGTGCTCTTTTGTGAAGTGCCTGTTAATGTCTTCTGCCTACTTTTTAAAAATTGAGTTACCTGCCTTTTTTTATTTATTTGAAAAATTATTAATATATCCTGAATGAGTCCATTGTTAGATATACATATTGGAAAGATCTTCTCCCACTTTGTGACCTCTTTTACTATTCTAGTGGTAGCTTTTTATAAATTTATTATAAGATCTTATTTTTATTAAGTTATATCTTAATATCTTATTTTTCTTCCATAGTTAGCACTTGTGCCCTCAAAGATCATGAAAATGTTCTTCTATTTCCTAAAAGCTTTATTATTTTACCACTTACATTGAAACCTGAAATACACCTGGAATTGAGTTTGTTATATAAGGTAGAAATGAAGGTGGATTTTTTTTTTTTCTCAAATGGATATCCAAATGACATGCTACTGAAAAGAACATCTTTTCTCTGCTGTTCCAAAATACCATCTTGTTCTTACATTGGGCGACACTACAAGTGTGAGTCTATTTGTGAATCAAAACAGTATCAGATGAAAAGAAAGCAAGATGCAAAATGGCATACATAGAAAAGCATTTGTATGCACTGTTAAACAAGTACTTCGCCTTTTTTACATATGTTTAACATGTGCATGTAGCAAAAGAAATAAAAATGAACTAAAAAGCTACAGACAAAATTCATGATGGGGTGGGGATGAGGAAGAGGGAAGAAAGTTAACACTGAGTACAATGTTCTTTCATTCACTAAATTTTTAAAATTTTTTTAAGATTTTATTTTGAGAGAGAACACATTATTGAATCATAATCAATAATAATTATTGAAACCATAATCTACATTTTTAAAAATCAAGTGTTGACATTATCAACAATAGCCAAACTATGGAAAGAGCCCAAGTGTCATCGAGTGATGAATGGATAAGGAAGATGTGTTATATCTATACAATGGAATATTACTCAGCCATCAAAAAGAATGAAATCTTGCCATTTGCAATGACGTGGATGGAGCTAGAGTGTATGATGGTAAACAATATTAAGCAGTCAGAAAAAGTCAAATACCATATGATTTCACTCATATGTGGAGTTTAAGAAACAAA